TTGAAAGCAAAGCTGTACTCAATGGCCTTGCAAATTATTTGAAGGTTCATTGACGAGAGTTCGATCGCATTATACCAATTATTCCCTGCCACCCCCCGCCCCCCGCGACGAACAGGTGGAAAGCGAGCGTCCCAAGGGATGCCGCCTTAGCGGACCCCCCTAGCGCCTTAGCCCCACCGCCTGCCGCCCCTCGGAACCACCACCGGCGCGAACCTGGGGCGCCTTTCGGAGGCGAACCCGAGGCCGAGTTCGACGAGGCGAGGCGCATCCGCCTCTTCAGGAGCGCGGCGATGCGTTTCTGGCTGCTGCAGCGCGGAGGCTTCTTGTAACCTGCCCCAGCTCCGTCCGGTGCAGCGGTGGCGGCGAGCCAGGAGCGGCTGAGCCGGGGAGCCGGGGAGCCGGGAGCCGGGAGCCGGGGACCGAAGCCTCAGGCCGAATTCGGATGGAATCCTAGCCCAAACTTGAATGGCATTTCGTTCCTTCAAAGAACCCTTGTTGTTGACTTACTGTAATATCTATATCTATAATAAGGATTGTACTCACCACAAAACCGAGGCCTGTCCCGAACTCTTTTCCTTGTCTTCTCCAAAGGCCGCCCAGTCGAGTCGCGACCAGTTCCCCGCACGTCTGGAGGTGGAAAGGCCACCCCCAAAGAAAATTCAGCTGGGAAATACTTTTCGTGAGGTTGAGATCCAGAAGCAGTGTCCCTGGAAAATAGAGGTCAAACTTTTTCCACTGGTTCTTATTGAAGTTATTGAAGTGAGGTTTCGATTCCCCCCCCCAACAGAATGGTGACCTGCAGGTGATCGATCCACATCAAACCTTCCGCCGGATCGCCGCCTGAGCGCAGCTGCGTCTCATCCAAGCCCGAGAAGCTGTTCCGCCTCGCCCCAACCAACGCACCACCCGGTCGCCGGGGCAGGAGCACGCCCAGCCCGAGGGTAACGAGAGTAAAGCGATCCACCATGGAAGTGGTGAGTGAAGCATCCAATCTTGATGTGATCTTCCGTACCAGTCCAGTCCAACAAAAGTCTTCAAATCACAATCAGACGAACGGTGACCCGTTCGTGCTGAAGAACCCTCTGTTATCGACTATCCCAGTTGGGTAGCTACAGATCAGGTCACCTGCCACCTCTCTTGGTAGGGCGGTGCCAGGTCACCCAATCTTCACAGGTCACCGACCGAGCTTGGTCGGCGTAAACCAGCGAACCGAACTTGGTCGGTGATGTGGCTAACCATCAACAAGCGAACCAAGGGTGCGAGGCCTCGGACTCCGAGTCGGGTGATGGTATTCTTTGGTCTTCGAAGTCGTGGCCCACCATGAATCGGCGGAAGATCCCCAAGAACCAGCTGCACATCCGGATGTTGCACTACAACCGGGTGAAGCAGTAGTTTGTACATGGTCGAACGGAAGTCTATGGGTTAGGGTTTAGGGTTGGATGCATCCATCTCAAAACTCAAAACACCTACCGGGATCTACCAGGCTCCTCCAAGGATTGGCAGGCTCCTACCGATCCTGGAGGGTTAGGATATACTCTATAGGATTTGTGGCCCATTGACACAGAGTGAAGGCTTTCGAGATCTCCTGATGGATGGGACAGTATCAACCCTACCAGCACCCGACTCTACAGGTCACCAATTGAAACCTTTTAGAGCCCAACAAACCTCCATTTCGGAGACCTGTTGGAGGGTGCTGGTAGGAATACTGACTGAATCCCGAAAAACCATTTCTCTAAACAAAGCCAGGTCGTTCCCAGTTGCTTCGTCTTGCGAAAGGCATATGCTACGTCGGTGAGCATGACACGGAAAGCTTAAGACTGTTCTGTTCCTTTCTGGAGGTGAACACCCTCAACGGCTAACCACAGAGCTTTATGTATTGACTGACCCGCAAGCCATGCCTTTCTTTACATAACTTGTTGGCATGAAAGCCGAAAATTCTTAAACCTACAGGATCACGTGTCTTGCTGCTTGGCAGGTCACCTGTCTGGTTCGACCCTGCCAGGGCCCTCCACTTCAAACCCTCCATGTCGGAGACCTGGCAGGTGTCGGGTGCTGGATGAAAGCCGCAGTTGTATGTTGGAAGAGCTATTTTCTGCCGAGCATGTTTCTCTCCTCTGCAGCTCAGTTCATGGATGCACAGCCAACTTTCCATTCATCAAAGCTGCCTAGAAACCCTGCCACTTCCCCGTGGCCATGCAGACCCGCCAAATCCTCCGCTGTCAGACCATCCCTGTTCATCTTGTCTTTTTGAGCTCCAGCGTCCAGCAAGAGCCTCACCACACGGAAGCAGCCATTCTCCGCAGCCAAATGCAAAGCTGTATCTCCGAACAATGTCACCTTGTCTTTGTCTGCCCCAGCCTGCAGCAACCGCCACACAATCTCCACGTGATCATGCTGAGCTGACACATGTAACGCCGTTGACCCGTCACTCATTTCCTTCTGGTGGTCAGCACTGGCTTCCAGCAAGAGCTGCACAACTTTTAGGTGGTCATGTTCAGCTGCCAAATGCAAAGCTGCCGCTCCGTGACTTGTGGCCTTCTCTTTGTTGGCACCAGCCTCCAGCAAGAGCTGCACAACTTCCAAGTGGCCAATCTCAGCTGCGAAATGCAAAGCTGCGTAACCAAACGAATCAATCTTGTCAACCGCAGCACCAGCTTCGAGTAGCAAAGCTACACATTGCCAATGGCCTGCCTTTGCTGCGGCATGTATGGCTGTCTTCCCATCTTGATTTTCAAGGTCCGGCGAGAGTGGCAATTTCAAGAGCGATTCTACCTCCTCCCTATGATTTCGAGCACAAGCCCACGCGAGCCGCTGGCCACCCTCCGCTACCCGTCGGAAACCCACAATGATCAGCTGGACATTGGAAGACATGAAGGATTCATCATGCAACTCCTTCTCTTCACACAGCCATCTCTGATCTTCAAGCGCGAGGCTCCGCTTCGCCAACTGGACCTTCAAGGATTTCACCCGCCTCACAGCATGGCAGCGCGATCAGCGCTGCGATCACAAGAAGCTCGGCTCGATCCGCAAGCTGCGCTTGAAAACATCCAATTTCGATGTCCATGATCCAACTGAATTCAAAACGAAGCAAACGCAGCATGGAATGATGGAAAACATCAAAAATGTTTCTCTTTGAGGAATCTCTCGCTCTATGTGTGTATCTATGTGTGTATTAAAAGAATATATATATCTATTATATTCTATTATATAGTATGTGCATTTATGTGCGATGCTTCTAGACTCACAAAGTTCCTTGCTGATCAAGGGCTACAAAAGACACGTTACAGTCATTATAGGTCAAAAGTGCCCAAACAATGGCATGGATGTCAGCATAGATCACCCCAACAATTCCACAATACTGGTAAAAAGTAAACGAAACATGTGTGGCAATGAGCAAAAAAAGCAGAAAGCCGCTTCACTGGACTGAAAAGAGGAAGTTCCGAGAATGTCCTGTCTAACCCTATACCTAAGGTACTTAACCGCCTCACTTCGCCTACAGAAACGTTTTCCTGCTCACCGGTGGCAGTGGTGCTGCATGCGGATGTCCACGTGAGGTTCGAGTAGCGATCTACAAGAACCAAAGGGTCAACAAGTCAGACCGTTTTTTCCAAATCGCCGACTGGAGTTCCCCGGTGTCCGACTGGAGTTCCCACAAAAGCTGACTCAGCTTCACCGATTCTCGGGTCCGCTTCGGCCGTTTTGCGGGGTCCCATCTGCTTTGCTGAAGGACTCAAGTCCTTCCCCAGCTGTCCAGACTAGAGACCATCTTCTTGGGGAACAATGCGGTCTGACTACTCACATGCGTTCCATATAATGTAATATATATATATATATACTCCCTGAAATCCGATACAATGGTATTTTTTCAAAGTGCCTTTCGGTGACCCCAATAGGAACTTCCCTTGAATGTGGTGGCTCCCGCCTCTGCTTGCCCTCCGGGTGATGATCCTGCGCCGTTCGACTCCGAAAAGGACCCGAATGGCTCGGAGACATCAACGACATCAAGCACCCTGAACCCGAATCCTTTGGAGGGGTCTGGGTTCTCAAATCCCTTAATTTAGTGTATAATATAATTGTATACCAGGACCTTCCGTTTGAGGTGTCTATAAATAGCCTCTTAGAGGTTGAGAAGTGTCCAAAAATCAACTGTTGGGAGGTCCTGGTACATATATATCCAGCAGCCGCAACCTGCCAGGTCACCGCTTTTTTTTCTACCACTTCAACATACAAAAGTCTCTAACAAAAAGCCCACCAGGGGGAGACTTCTTGGAGGGTGCTGGTAGTGACCAATCATCATGCAAACATCATGGTGTTAAAGAAATATGAAATATGGAACACATAGAGTCATAGAGGTTGGTGGATGGCCCCCAAGCAGCTATGTTCGCATGGACTTCCCAACTTCTGTGTCCCACAACACTTGCGTCGCGGAAACGATTCTTATGATTCTTTCGGACGTGCGTCGTGGTCCTTCACATCGGTTTCACCTCTCTCCCAGGAGCTTCCCAAATCCTTCCGTTCGCCCCGGTGGTGTTTGGGGGAGGATAGACCCCTCAGACACGAGGGCTATGAAGGTCCATCTCTGCGACCCCAAGGCCCTGGGCCGGATGTAGGGCGAAGCAGCTGAGCTGCTTGCGACCCCCGAAGCGGCAGCGCCAGCACCGTTTCGCGTGCCCTGACCTCGTGGTGAGCCATGAGCTTCTTGGGCGCACCCTGCAAGAGCACCTGTGGTAGGGCGGATGGGTTTCGGAGAAGCTGGAGGGACGCAACCCGTTTAGCTGGGGCACTGACAGCTAAGACTGCAGCCGACAAGCTTTGAGGAAAAGGCAGCTTCTAGTGCCAGGGTCATTTGTTCGTCCCATCCACAAAAAGGATGGTCAAAACTGGCTGGTTGACCACCGAACATGAAAAGAATGAGCTACCAGGTTTGACCCACAGCCACATGTTCAACCCGCAGGTCTCTCCTCTAGCTTCATCAACTGGTGGTCTAGGAGTCTTCATCCAAAGCCAACGACACACAGATAGCGTTCCGCCTGGTAGAGAGAAACAGCAAGAATGGTATAGCCTAGCCTTTCTGCAAACCTCTCTACCTGTCAGAAAACCGTTCGACCCGTGCGTGAAACATCATCTCTTCAAAAAAAGACACCTGGAAGTGGAAAGGGGGCCCTTGGACAACTCCTTTCCTTTATGAGGACACCCTAATGATCAACGACCGGTGCAGGTCTTCAGCGTTCGACGGTTCTGTGATATTTTGGGTCCAAAGCCTCCAGGCTGCAGGCGGGTCCAGTGATGCTTAGGACAGGTGTTTGGTTCACTTCCATGCGATGTGTTTCTCATACCAACACCCGAACAGGGCCAGGAGTTGAGGGTTGTTGGACCATGTCTCAGGCCTCAATTGGTGACCTGTAGAGTCGGGTGCTGGTAGATTTTGACGCATCTCTTGCACCCAAAGTGAAGCGCAAGCACGTCGTTCGACTGCACCAGGCAGAAGCCACGACTGCCACGGCTGCCACGGCCTTCGCCCGAAGCTCTGCCAGCTTTAAGTGCTTCTTCTCAGCAAGGATCTCCAACCTGTGGATGGACGAAAGCTTGTCCATGCTTGTCCATCCGATTGTCCAGCCGCTGGTGTTCTTGTTTGTTATGGGAAAAAGCATGATAAGAAGCTTTAAAAAGAAGGTAAAAACCTTCCGAAATGACAACTGAACACATTCATTGGTCATGAGTCATGGGAGGCTTGAACAAGGGGCTCCGGGGCCGACATTGCTGAATCGAAAAACTCCAATGTGTGGCATATTCACTTATAGTCATCCTGGACTGGATAGAATATGAGAGAATCCAGAATCCTAAAACAATAAGAAACTGGTCATGGTTTTGGATTGGTTCATATTCTATGCTCTCCAGGATGATTATATAATCTTGGACAAACATCGGTTTACTGAGGACACCATTTTGAAATAGATTAGTCTTCGAAGGCTAGTTAGGATATGGGGTGGTTTCAGGGGTCAATGTTGATCAATGTTGTCCCATACATGGAGTGTGTGGGTAAGAATCCATGTGGAAGCAATAGCTCCTTGGTCAAGCTCAGAAAAAACAATGACCGACGAATCGTATGACAGTCCATCGGTCTAAGGGACACATGGACCCTGATTCCACGGCCTCCCAGAAGGGCCTGGTTCAGACAGTTTCTCTCCATCAACCACTCGCATGCAGAACACATGACGACGTCTGCAGAGGGGCTTTGTGCGATACTTTCGGCAAATTACATCAACCAAAACAATGAGCAGCACCACGGAAAGGGCGGCTCACAAACACCCCCGGGCCCTGACCTAAAGGTATGTTCCTTCCAATAACCACCCCTTGCGTGGTTCTGGCCATTGTGAATGATCAAACACCCCACTACACTACACTGCCACATAACCCATAAGACTTAAAAGACTCATCGCTTCCGCTTCGGCACCTCATGGCTGTAACAAACGGAAAGCTCTCCACCAACCCAGCTACCGCGCAGCACGTCCCTCCACGGATCACGTCCCTCTCAGCGCCCGGGCGCGAACTCGAACTGGAGCGGATCGATGGTTCGAGCCGCGTGGTCCTGCCGTGCCGCCCGCCGCCCGGGCGGCACGTGCGTGGCGTACGCGGCGTGCCGACGGTCGCGTCGTGGCCGATCCGCCATGTGACCACGCAACGAGCCATGGATGAGTGGCTCAGGAATTGCTTCACTCCACTCCGTGAAGTTCGGATCTTCGCTGGTCGGATTGGAATGGTGAAGACTGCCCACCCGAAGCGGGGGGCGGGATGGACCGGAATGGACGGGAATCCTGCTACACCCCCCGGTGTCCTTCACGCGGGTGTCTGAGAAGATCAAGTCCGCCTTGGCATGGCGAGCCCGATGCGCAAAGATAAGAGGGGTAGACGGCCTGTGGCTTCCTTTTGAGGTGCCCATGGTTTGATGTGATTATAGCTGAAAAGCCAATGCCGCGAAGCTCTCATCTGTTGGTACTTATGACTGAACACCTCTACAGCAGTAACTCGGAATCCATCTGGCTAAGCAGATGCTAAGCAGATGCTAAGCAAATGCTAAGCAGTGTAGTCTGGATGATGAGGGGCCGATCGGGCCGGTTTTTAGGGGTCCGATCTCCACGTTCTCTCCTGGCTGGAATACCCAGGCCACTGCTTGTGGATCTCCGGACAGGACACCCCGACAGGAAGGTGTAGGTAGGTGTAGGTAGGGCGAGTGCGCCCTGTTTTCACGGAGCGTTTGGGTGAGGTAAGGCGGCCGAAGGAGCGGAAAAAAAAGACATTCCAAGACGATTTGCTTGGTCGTGTTGAAACGGAGTCCAAGACTGAAATGCGGACTAGGTGACTAGGAGCGCAAAAATGCCACCAAGAAACCGAAGCCGATTCCCTAGTATTCCAACCGCTGTTCCATGAGCTTGTCACCTTTCCAGCCCTTAGCGTTTGGATTGTCCCTGGCACCGGCCTCCGAACCGACCCGGCGCCGGGCACCGCGTAGTAAAACCCGGGCCGCCGGGCCATGACGCTGTCCATCGGACCATCCAAAAGGCCGCAGTCCTCGCCGGATCGGTGTCCAACGCAAAGAAGCGTAATGTTGGATCCTGATTAGTAAATAGGTCCTCTATAATGCTAAATTTTTCAAAATTTATTCAGACCCCCCCCCTGATTGAAAAATGGTACCTCTATAATGCTAAAAAAATTTTGGACCCTAAATTTTTAAATTGGAAACATTGGAAACCCAATTAATAAGGGTTTGAATTCCTTCTGAACCCTGTCCACCTGCACTCCCCCCTCCCTTCCCAGGCAAGCAGCCAGCAGCAAAGCAAAACACAGACAAACAGACCACCAACAAGATGTTAACTAACTAATTACAACCCTAGTCCCAGAGGCCAATGATTATGATTCATTAGCTGATATAGCTTTCTCTAGGTTTCTTAAAAACTGACAGCTGACCAAAACCACCAATTCCCCAATTAAACCCTTT